ATGACAGGGTACTGCCTTTATTTAAACGTTTAATCATGATGGTGTTGAATAGGGCAACAGTATAAATTCCCCAGCCACGCCACAAATTAATTTCTGCCACAATAGTAGATTCTCGTAGGATCTTGTTGAGTGGCAGTCATAAAGACTTGTGAAGCCAGTAATTAATGGGAAAATCTTCTTAATGCTTATTTTGATGTAGGTTATGAAGTCTGTTACTCTCTGCAGCTTCTGAACCTGCCTATTCTCATAAAGACCAATAGTGCTGATGTACATTTGGTGAAAATGTTTTTCACCGTTAACAGGTTTTGTCTATAGCACTCCTGCTGCCAGACTTTTGACTTATTTTACAGTAGATTTTTGCGGTGTGTGGCAGCCTCATTGTTTTTAGATCACAAGTTGGGACAGAAGAACAAATCAAATCAATTTGCTCATTTAATATTTAAATTTTTCATTAGGCTTGATTTTTGGAAACCCATATTTATAAACCCACCGCAACTGAAAATGGAATGCCACAGATATTACTCTCTCCCATGTATTATTAGGTATGTGACAGCCCAGCGTGATAGCTCTTAATCTAGGGTTCAGTGTCAGCTATCTGACTATTGCCGGTGAATACCAGGAGTAATCCTACTCTGTTTTGCGTGTGACGTCAGCCTTCGTCCTGCCTGTTTTGGAAAATCAAATATACTGTAAGTGGGCGCAGGGGTAAGTCAAACACTAGACAGACACTCACTGGTTTTTTGGGGTATAGCTCACATGCCTGAAACAGTTTGCTGTTTTTCAAATAATTTAATAAATTCTGTGTCAATCTATTGTTATGTCTGCCACCAAACAAGATTCTATGACAATACACTGCTGTGGTAAAAAGTGTTTCATACCGTGGCTGGGGAATTTATACCGTTGCCCTATTCAACACCATCATGGTTAAAAGTTTAAATAAAGGCAGTACCCTGTCATGCTATGCAAATATACATCAGCACTATTGGTCTTCAGGACCAGCCAAACTTTTGACTGACATTTTACAATAGATTTTTTTACAATGTACGCGAACAGGCGGAAGCAAGCAAAACGTGAGCAAGTTTTATATGGTTGTAGCATATCAAGTCTATAAAGTAAATTAAAGTATAAAAGCCTACAAAGTAAATATACTTTATAGGCTTTTAAATATACTTTATAGGCTTTTATATGCTAATCAAATAAATTCGTTTTGTCATTCAAATTAGGTCTAATAGGATTTTTTAAATTTCACGTTACGCTGTCAGTGAAATTTTATTTTATAGAGACGCAGCAGCAGCATCAACAGAAAAAAATTGAGGAATGTTAAACGTGGATGCTTAGCCTGTATATACTTTAGGCTATTAAGCTCACTGATTCCTTTATTTTTACGCCTATTTTTGTGTGGAATGCCATTGCCAAACCTGTCCGTTGTTGCATATACGTTGCTTAAAAATAAATATTTTCTGAATGGCAATGTTGCCGTTGCTCATATTTCTTTATGATATAAGGCTTCGGTTTAAGGTGACATTTGTTAGGCATGCAGATTATTTGTCCCTCTTTTAAATTGGAGCGAGTGTGGAGCGATTTGACTGGAGCGGGAGGAAATTTTAGTGGAGTGAGGAGCGGTGTTGAGCGGAGCGGTGTTGAGCGGAGCGGCTTAGTGCGAATTAGAGCGGAGAAGCGGGCCGAGCCAACAGCCTCGTGAGCTCCACTCCGCTCACATGCTCTGATACAAAGCCTCATTAATAATTTAGCCATACTAAGCTGCTTATATTGTGGGCGTAAAGAAATGTCCGTATAGCACAGAAAAGCTGGCGCACCACCAAATGTTGCGCCTGTCATCTGAAGCCCTAGTGATTATTGCGCATGCGCGATTTAATCGCGATTTGATATCGCCCAGCCCTAATTTTAATGTACTTTCGTTTGGGCATTCAGCTGCTGTGTTTTACTAATGATATAAATGTGCGTGAAATGTATGGCACCAGTCACCAAACACAGATTATGAAGCTCGACTGTGTTAGACAGCATAATATAATTATTTAGCAGGGCTGAAAAAAGGTGAGAGCTATTAATGGTGGAAGGAGTGTATTTCCGCTAAAGCAGATATAATGGGTGGTGGCCTCATTGCTTTTCGATCACAACTTGGGATAGAAGAACAAATCAAATCACTTTGCTCATTTAATATTAAGATTTTCATTATCTTAATTTTTAGAAACCCACCACGTTCGAGGATGGTATGGCACTGATATTAGTCTTTACCACATTTCATTGCTAACTTCTTTTTTTGAGTTGCTTCTGTTGGTGTATGCTAATTGGTCTGAGCAGTGTAGTAGTCCTTGTATATGTGCATCCCCAAAGAAATCTCAATTGTACAGGTACATAAAATGATACAGATAGTCTCTGTAGCTGAAATTGTGTTTTTATGTCTATTCATTTTTTTTTTTTTCAGTTTACCATTTCTTAACTCATTCGCAAATGTTCTTCTTGAGATCTGGCATACACTCTCTCCAAAGCTTTTATTTTCTCTTCTAATTCTATTTCAATTGCCATTTCTTTTTTTTCTTGTATGATGAGTAAGAAATTCTACCCCGCATTACAGCTTTTGCCATTTCCCTCATGAGATGAGGTGCCAGGCAGGTTGTGTGTTTCGGAAAATAACGCCCAATCT